TTCAAGGGCTAGTCTCTTACGCAGTTCAATCAACTTAGCGATCAATAACAAAATAACCATCCTAAGACAAATTATAAACGAACCTTATCAGCTTCCCTTGTCTCGTTTTGCATAGGCAGTGTAAAGCAATACAATTAAGACGCTTATACTACGCGTGTGTTAGGCTGCAGCGGTCTAATACTATCTACGCTGAGTTTATAGATTTTATAGCTCCTCATAAACCGAGTATAAACTTTAAAAACCCACTCATTTCGGCTCTCAATGAATGGAAAATTCAAGGTAAAAAAAGCAAGGACCCCCTCCCTCAGAAGTCGGTCCCACTGCAAAGGGAATAGGACACGCAACGCCTTCTTGGAGATTCGTCTGCCATTTTGTCTTTTTTCGACATAGACGCGACTCATTTTTTGATTGGGCCACAGGTAGCCCAATAATTAGCTGGACTCTGTTTTGGAGAGACCTTGAGAGCGGGAACGGTAACAGTCCAGTGTCTTTAAGAGCGAACGAGAGAAGAAGGAAGGTACAAGACCTTTGGGACTGGCCTGAGAGAGGCGTCCTCCTTATTAAGAGCAAAAAGTGACTGGGTAGTGATAGGGACCAATTCTATAGGGCGCTTTCTATTTCTCAGAACTGATCGGCCAGACCAGACCCGTCGTGGCAAATACGATGATTTCACTTTTAATCTAAACGCTCTGGCTACATCAGTGAAATCCTAGGTAGTGTTCACGGAGGAGAACGTTTTTCAGCAAAACTCTTGAATAAGAGCCTATTTCACTTTCAAACGGACTGGTGTGGCCGGATAGGTTTGACAAATGGAAAGCGCCCCTAGATATAGGTGTCCGCTAAAAAAAGCCAGAGGAACGGGCTGAATGCAAGGACTAATTCTAAGGGTCCGTTTCACAGAGAGTCAAAATTCTGCCTTGCGCATTTTGTTATATCCCTGTTATCAATGTGCCAAAGTAATTTACTGACTAAATTTATTTTTGTGCACAGGATCGCCTCAAGATAATCTCCAAACTTCCGGAAAAGATAAAACCTGAATTAGTGAAGTTGAATTCGACATTAAATGGAAAGGTTTGTATACTCTGTATATATGTCCTCGTAGTCTTGATGGACTATCTTCATTATTCCTCGTTGCAATCGACTGAAAAGAGATACGGTACAATTTCTCGTTATAATTTCCAATATAATCCCAAGGAAGTCCTCGATGGCTCATATACGGAGGGGCTTATTAAAGGGGACTTTTCAGTCTGAATTTGGGGGACTTTGGAGGACATTTTACGATAGCGCAGGTGTGGTTACAATGTAGTAGAGCGGTTTTCATTTGAGTGTCGAAAAGTAATTGGTTTTGCACTTTCTACACGATGCGATTGGCTTAAAAGATTCGCGCCACCTTTTCATCCAATCAGAAGTAAAACCAAAGCCAATTGTGACGCGCTCGCATGCATTTTCCCGCGCTTTGCGTCAGCCACATGTAATTACTTCGAGTTTTGATTGGTTCAATGTATTGT